GGGGGGGGGGTACTCTGGGAGTACCACAGTGAGTCAGATTTGTTTCCAGTAAGTTCTGGACTTTGTCACCAGTTATGTTCTTAACTTCTCCGAGCAAAGTTTCTCTGGTTCAGATTGCTGCTCTTTGTACGTGACTTGGTTTTATTGGCCTCGTAAAGCGGGAACCTCCCACAGACGCTGGACTGGTTTGAGACTGAGGATCACGGGATGAAGCTGTGGACTTCAACCGGAAAAGGGTGGATTGCCTCTTCCAGACTGGGAATGAGCTGCAACGGGAAGAGTTCAAGTATCTCGGGGGTCTCGTTTAGTGACAGGTGGATTGGGGCAGAGATGAGACTGGAATGAGATTCCTCTGCAGAGCAGCTCAATTCAACTTTTGGGGATGGATGAGGAGCTTCTCCAGCAGGTCTTGCTGGGATCACCGCCCCACCTGGGGGACAGGGAGGTCTAGGGATCCTGTTTGAACCCGCTGCCCTCATGACCTCGTCTCAGACAGCAGGCAGAAAGTAGATGAATGGAACAAAGCCGCAGCCCACTGTACCTGGCACTCGTCAGGGTTGAAGTCCTGAGCTTTCTTCGGCTGGTTGTAAGGGATGCTCTTCAGCGCCGCTCCGTAGTACCAGTTCTGCCCGTGGTCGTCGCTCAGGATGCAAAAAACACCGTCGCCCTCCAGCGTTCCATGGCCACAAACCACCAACCTGCCCTTTGCAGGCGGGTAGCGCTTCTGCAAAGAAAAAGACACAAAGAAACGCCAAATTTATTCTTCTTTTTCAGTAATAAAACAAGCATTGATTGCCAAAACGAAAAAGACTTTGTGTTTATTGTTTTATATTAAACATCCTGAAACTGTATCTCACTTCTTGTCCCATTTTTAAACACAGAATGAAACCAGTCAATATTCTTGTGAATTTAGTTGTGCTTATCAAAATGAACCCTTAAGGCTGAACGGAACAAATAAAAAAGCCTAAAAAGAAGGTAAACTAGACAAATTGCATTTCCTGTGAAAGTGCAGTGTAAATGCTTAATGCTGAAAAAATTGCAGGAAAAACAACTGAAATTAGCTAAAAAAAAACTTGCTGAATTGTAACTGAAATGGAAGAACAAGCCTAAATTAGAAGAAGAAAACAGAAAGAACACATATTTGCTGAATTAGGTTTAAAAAGGCAGAAATGAGCACAAAAATTAGGAAATTAGCTTAAAAAGCCGAAATTAGCAAATAACAGCTGAAAATGCAAAAAAAAAAAAAAGGTTAAACAACCAGAAAGAAGCAGAAAGAGCTGAAATTAGCTAAGAAATGTGGAATTAGCTGAAAAGGCTAAAATTAGCATAAACAGCTAAATAGTAGCTGAAATAGCAGAAAATGCTGAAACTAGAACAAAAAAAGCTGAAATGAGCATAACAAGCTGAAATTAACAAAAATAAGTTAATTTGGCTGAAAGTAGCAGAAATTACCACCAAAAAACTTTAATTTATCTGAAAACAGCTAAAATAGCTAAAAAAAAAAAGCTAAAAATGTAGCTGAAAATGTAGAAGAAGCTTAAATTAGCAGAAGAAAGCAGAAAGAACACGTTTGCCCAATTATGCTGAAAGAAACCAAAATTAGCCAAAAAAGTGGAAATTATCTGAAAAAAAGCTGAAATTAGAAAAAAAAATCAGCTGAAAAGCAGCTAAAAAGGCAGAAAGAAGCTTAAATTACAAGAAGGAAGTGGAGAGAACACATTTTTGCAGAATTAGGCTGGAAAGAAGTTTAAACGAGTGCAAAAAATGTGGAATAAGCTGAAAAAGTTAAAATTAGCATAAAAACAGCTAAATTGTAGCTGGAAAAGCTGAAACTAGCAGAAATAAGCTGAAAGGAGCGTAACGAGCTGAAATTAGCAGAAACAAGTTAAAAGAAGCACAAAAATGTTGTACAATATTTACCAGAGTAAAGCTGAAAGGAGTACAAAACAGCTGGAAAAAAAACTGCTGAAAATAGCTGAAAAAGGTTTTAATTTGCACAAGGAAGCTGAAAGAAGCTGAAGCAGAACAAAATGTGAAAGGAGCAGTAAAAGATTGTAAATAGATTTAAAGATCTGAAGGAGGTAAAATGAGCTCAATAAATTTTCTATGAGGAAAAAAGTGGCTGAAAAGGCTAAATTTCTCAAAAAGCTAAAGTTGCATCAATACCAAAAGTCTCCTGAAAAAGCTGAACATTTTGATATTTGATTTGTTAAAGTAGCACAAACATTGTGGTACAAGAAAGATGCTGAAAAAAGTATTGAAGAAAAATAGATCTCAATAGAGTGAATGGTTCATAAACATTCACACTAGAAGCTAAAAAAATGTTTGAGACCAGTTGTTTTCACTTTTCTGTGTTCGGAGCCTCTTTGAGTGACTGATGTGTTTTGTTTCTCCTTCATATTGTAGAAAAACAGCCGCTCAGACTTCATTTGAGATTCAAGAAGTCAACCGTGATCCAAACACGGATCATTCGGTTACCAGGGGTGAAAGTGAAAGCTTGGTTCATTTCATGTCGGCTGCTGTTCCTCACTGCAGGAAAAGGCTGGTCTGAAGTCGACAAATTTCACTCTCAGCTCATTGTAAACTGCTTTTCTTTGCACTTTCCTAAATAAATATCTTGCAAAAGCTGCAGCAAACACAGGATGTTAGTTGCAACATGTTTTCCACAGAAAACATCTGAGATCAAAAGCAACATGAAGAACAGCAGAAATTATAACATTTGGACCAAAAAAGCACAAAACAGATCTCTAAAGACAAACGGTGGATTAAAGGTGCAATTTTTCAAGACATTGTACTCAAACGTTGCAGCAAACTAAATATTTGATGTTACTTTGTGGCTACATCCACGAACGACACGTCTTTGGAGCAGAATATGAAAATCCTGTCAAAAATGAGAGCAGTGCTCCAACAGAACAGCTGTTTGAAACGTGAACTCAGAGTTTAGGAGAAGCATCGTCTCGTTGACTTGAAACCAAACAAGTCCCCATTCTTCTTCTAAATTAGTCAAAACTCATAAAGACAAAAGATTATCGTCACAGTTTGACAGGCAGCTGTTTTATATTTACACTAGAGGAATTGCATTTCCTGCGAAAATGCAGTGTGAATGCTTATTGCAGAAGAACTTGCTGAAAAACAGCTAAAATTAGCTGAAAACATGATGAAATGAAGCTGAAATGGATGAACAAGCCTAATTTAGCAGAAGAAAGCAGAAAGAACACATATTTGCTAAATTAGGTTTACATAAGCAGAAATTAGGACAAAAATTAGGAAATTAGCTTAAAAAGCTGAAACTAAAAAAATAAGTTTGCTAAAAGAAGCAGAAAAAAGCACAAAAGGTGGAAATTATCTGAAATCAGCAGAAAACGGCTGAAAAGTAGCTTAAAAAGCAGAAAGAAGCTTAAATTACCAGTTGGGAGTGGAGAGAGCACATTTTCACAGAATTAAGCTGAAAAAAGTTGAAATGAGTGCAAAAAAAAAAGTGGAATTAGCCGAAAAAAGGTGAAATTGCATAAAACAGATATAGCTAAAAAAAAATGAAACTGGCAGAAATCAGCTGAAAGGAGCATAACAAGCTAAATTTAGTAGAAATAAATTAACTAAGCTGAAAGTAGCAGAATTTACCACCACAAAAAACTAGAATTTATCTGAAAACAGCTGAAATTAACTAAAAAATGGGGGGGGGGGGGGGGGGTAGCTGAAAATGTAGAACAATTTTAAATTACCAGAAGACAGCAGAAAAAAAAAAACACGTTTGCCCCAATTAGGCTGAAAGAAGCAGAAAATAACACAAAGAAGGGGGATACTACAGTATCTGGTTAAAAAAAAAACTGAAATCAGTAAAAAAAAACAGCTGAAAAGTAGCTAAAATGGCAGAAAGAAGCTTAAATTACCAGTTGAAAGTGGAGAGAGCATACTTTTGCTGAATTAGGCTGAATTAGGATGAAATGAGTACAAAAAAATGTGGAATTAGCCAAAAAGGTGGAAAATTGCATTGATAAGCTGAAAGGTGCAAAATAAACTGAAATTAGCAGAAAGAAGTAAGAAGACGCACAAAAATCTTGTACCGTAGTTAGCATAAAGAACCTTAAAGCATCACAAAACACCTGAAAAACAGCTGAAATTAGCTGGAAAAAAGTTTAAATTTGCACAAAGAAGCCGAAAGAAGCTGAATCAGAACAAAATGAGCTCAATTCATCGTCCATGAGGAAAAAAGTGGCAGAAAAGGCTAAATATCTCAAAAAGCTAAAGTTGCACCAATACAAAAAGTCCAAGCGCCCTTCTCCTGAACGAGCTGAACGTTTTGACAAATGATTTGTTGAAAAGCACAAAATCTGTGGAAGGAGAAAGATGCTGAAGAGATGAAGAAAAATGGATGAAATAGTGTGAATGCTTCATAAACATTCACACAATGACTGAAAATCCGGCTTTAAAATCCTCTTTTAACACATTTAAGATCATTTGGTTTAGATTTAGCATCAATAAACGTTCACTTGTGGCATTTCTCGTCTTAATATCAGACTACTTTCTCACCTGGATGCCGAAGCCCGGCCCGGGAGCGAAGGCTTTCACTCCCAGCTGGACCGAGAGGTTTCTGGGAACGCCCCAGCTGAGGCCGTCGTCCACGCTCTCCACCATCATGGTGCTGGCCGGGCTGCAGTGGTAAAGGTGGAAGCAGAAGGAGTAGATGAGAATGACCGAACCGGCCTCCTCGTCCACCACCACCGAGCCCAGGTTCAGGCCGTTCGGGTGGTGCGCGTCATCCACGATGAAGGCGGTCGGAGACCACGTGCTTCCTGGAGAACCAGAAGAATCAGACGTTTAAAACCAGATTTCAGGAGGTTTGAGTTGTTTGAGGCTAACAAGGGTCAGCGCCGCCGTCTGCTTCAAACTATTAGTCTTTGTTGACTTTTTAAAAGTTATTTTCTTAAATTAAATGACAAGATTAGATTTTAAAATAACACGTGACCCGTGCTGTGAGCTCTCCATCCCAAAAGCTTCAAACTGTGACACGTTAGTTCAGTTTAATCAGTTTTACCACCTGTTTAGCAACAAGCTACTTTATTTAATATGCGACTGTGCCAGTTTGAAAAACTCCATTTTTATTTCATGCATTACAACTCTATATTTGAAAAAGGGGAATTCCCCATCTTGATAATGGCATCAAACGTTATACGAAGGGATTTCCCGGAAGACAAAATAAATTGTTTCTGAAGATAAACCTGTTAGAAAACTTTAACTAAAAGGTAGTTTAGGTTGATTATATAATGTTTTAGTTACCAACATGACTTGATGGTGACTTTATGGACTAGTTTCTTTTAGCAAATTTCAATCACTGCAAAAATCCTTTCTGTTCTGACCCATTTAGCCAGCAGCGGTCATAAATATGTATCTACTTGCACATGTTTTCTTGCACTTAATTATTTATTTCAGGTACACAACTTTTCTTTTACAGGAATTACTTTGCAGTGAGTGCTGGTTCCACAAACGGGACAGGTGTTTGTGCAGACAGAAGTAATAAAACAAAAAATCAGCTGTCTCTCAGATTATCATCATTACTGGACAGACTCGTGCTTTTCATCGTGGCTAAATATTTAAAGCCCATCTGTCCCAGAGGCAGTGGCAATAAGGGCTGGGCAACATAAGCTAAAACTAATGCTATGAGCTAAACCTAATGATATGAGCTAAAACTAATGATATGAGCTAAAACTCATCATATGAGCTAAAACTAATGATATGAACTAAACCTAATGATATGAGCTAAAATAAAGGTATGAGCTAAACCTAATGATATTAACTAAATCTAATGAAATGAGCCAAAACTAATTTGAGCTAAAACAATATGAGCTAAAACCAACATTATGAGCTTAAACTAATGATATGAGCTAAACCTAATGGTATGAATTAAACCCAATGATATGAGCTAAAACTACGGATATGAGCTTAAACTAATGATATGAGCTAAACCTAATGATATGAGCTAAAACTAATCATATGAGCTCAAACTCATCATATGAGCTAAAACTAATGATATGAACTAAAATTAATTATATGAGCTAAAACTAATCATATGAGCTAAAACTAAT